TCCATATGTATATCACTACCCTGTTGTATAGAACACGTTCGATATGTATATCACTGTTACAGTTGTATAGAACACGTTCCATATGTACATCCCTACCCTTTTGTATAGATCACGTTCCATATGTATATCCCTGTTACAGTTGTACATAGTTAGAAAATCACGTAGGTTCAATAAGTCTTGATACAAAATGATAAAAACCGAATAACCCGAGCGGGTTATAATCAGTTGTACAGGGTAATATGCAAAGTTCATACATTTTGATCAAACATTGATTAAATGTCCCGTTTGTAAAGGTTATTGCTACCAGTCTTTCTCATAAAATGAGCTCATAATTGTATATTTTCATGGTAAAACAGCTGTAAAAACCCTATAATCTTTTACCTCATAATTGTATATTTTCATGGTAAAACAGCTGTAAAAACCCTATAATCTTTTTACCTCATAATTGTGTATTTTCATGGTAAAACAGCTGTAAAAACCCTATAATCTTTTTACCTCATAATTGTATATTTTCATGGTAAAACAGCTGTAAAAACCCTATAATCTTTTTACCTCATAATTGTGTATTTTCATGGTAAAACAGCTGTAAAAACCCTATAATCTTTTACTCGGATGAAAACAATTCCCTGTTATATCTATTGGACAGCCTTGAGTAATTGTGCAGAGAACAAAGTGACTGTATATCGTGCTTGTCTTGGGAAGGTGTGTTACATCTGTTGTAAAAGTTTAGGCATCTAGTTAAAAACTATCGTCATTTGTTTGCAAGAGATCACCCATTTCATAATTTCCACGATATCCATTTCTATGTGTCTGCATTTAAAAGTGTTCAAAAAAACGCTCAGATAAATCCACTAATGCTTCTGTATTGAAATGATGAATAAACTAAGTTATAAAGCATTGCGCTTTTGCTCGCCAGTTGTTACTCTGCTTATTGAAGACAAATGAATTAAATTAAACACACATTCGAGAAACACTTTATACAAAGGGGAGAGTTCTCTCCCTGAAAACGCACTTTATATAACTAGATACTAATTAATACGTTTTGGCTGCAACTATGCTGTCGTTGAAAACGCACTTTATATAACTAGATACTAATTAATACGTTTTGGCTGCAACTATGCTGTCGTTGAAAACGCACTTTATATAACTAGATACTAATTAATACGTTTTGGCTGCAACTATGCTGTCGTTGAAAACGCACTTTATATAACTAGATACTAATTAATAATTTGTTTATCCTACGTTTTGGCTGCAACTATGCTGTCGTCTTCAGAAATATCCTAAGTTTTGTATCGTCGTGATCGGGATTTGATCTTGGGTTTCTTTGATGAAATTATGGTGTGTTATCCACTAACTTACCAACCGAAACATGAGATAAAACTAGTTAGTTGTTAATAGTAAAATTTCTAACTAATAATTAGACTTAGGTGATCGGATAGGCTACTAATCATCATAAAGATTTATGTCCAATTGCTTCAACCTTACTGTAAGTACTGTTTTTTAAACAGTGTAAACATACAATATGTACATTTTTATTGTTGAACCAATTAACTGGGATTAGTAATTGCTTGGACTGAACTTACAAAAAGCACGTTCACTCTAATGGCAATAGGAGTCCTGTCTTATTTGGCTGTATTTATGAAATACAAACTTACAGTCACAGACATAGAATAATTCAGTATATACTGAATGCGAGAGGCTACTGACACAAGTTTACAGCTATAACATCAATTTTTAAACTAATATACAAGCTTGAAATTTCAAACTTCGTTAAAAAGGAGGTTCGATAAAAAGTTGAACTGAATTTCAGTTCAGTGAAACACTTTCAATAAAATATTATGTTAAGGAAAGTATCCTGTTTTTAAAAATACATGTAAGAAAAAGGGAGCTGAATTCCATAGTAGGATATGAAATAATATTATTGGCTTTCAACTTTGCTTCTGCATAACCCGCTAAGATCTCAAAATAAAAAAAAACGCATATTTTTCTTCATATACTGTTTGTTACCTTTTTTTTTTCAAAATTTTGAAAATTGAGTTGCAATAACAATTAGTTGTAGTTTTGTAATAACAAAGTAGCAATCAGTTAAAAAATGTAAATGGATAGTTTGAATTATTCTGCAGTTTTAAATCTGCTACAAATACTTTATTACACTCTAAAGATTAAAATCTGTTATCTCACTCTGTATAAGTCAAATAATACTCTTTTATATGTGAGAAATCTAATACGAAAATACCCCTTCATGTAAGCTATTCTGATTAAAAATAAAAACAAAGATCTGTCAACCAATCCTGAGTTCCATCCAGTCGATGACGTCAGTTATTACTTGATCGCTGATTCCATCAGGTTCACGCAGCAAGCTATGGTACGAGTGTGGATACACCTGAAATACAGCAAAATAACAGGATAAATACTTTTGGTAATATATAGTCTAGGAAAGTTTGTATAATACAACTTAATGCCACAAAACAAAGAAAAGAAAGATATATAAAACAAAGAAAACAGACAAAGATATATCTAAAGAATATCTTTCAAAACCGAAAATTATTGTTCCAATCCACATTGTTTTTATAGTAGGTAATGTTTCTGATGGAATTAAAACACAACAATAGATAGATATATTAAAATATATTTCCTGATCAAGTTTATAAATGCATTTGCCAACTACCTTATTCTTGTCGAGGATGCATTATTATATAGAAACTAACCTTTAAGGATTTGTCTTTAGACTTTGCAGAGTCAAAAAGCATTTTGGCACCCGACACATCGCAGACTTTATCAGATCCTCCATGAAGAATTAACACAGGAAAGTCTACATTCTTCACACAGCTTGGAAGTTCCTGATATGAAGTTTATAACTTGTATGATATATCTTACAGTCTGACAATATATCTCATCTAAAGTTGGGAAGCGGGAGTTGAAAAACTAATATATACACACCCACTAACAAATGACATATTTCCTAGACATTACCAACAAATGAAATGTCTAGGAAATATGACCAACAAATGACATATTTCCTAGACATTACCAACAAATGAAATGTCTAGGAAATATGACCAACAAATGACATATTTCCTAGACATTACCAACAAATGACATATTTCCTAGACATTACCAACAAATGACATATTTCCTAAACATTACCAACAAATGACATATTTCCTAGACATTACC